GCAGGCCGAGGCGGCGACGGCGTCGAAGAAGCCCGACGCGCGCGCTCCTGCCAGGAGAAAGGAAAGGTGCACGAGGAGAACCTGCGGGGCGGTGATGAGGAGGGGGACAAGAAGGGGAGATGAAGGATAGGGAAACAAATGACGACGAGGAGGAACACATCGAAGAGGAGGGAAAGGGAGAGGGGGAAACGGAGGACGAGGAGGAACAAGGAGGAGAAGGAGGAGGCGGAAGAGCAAGAGGATATTCCATGCAACGAATAGGACGAGAATGAACAGGAGGAGGGGGAGGATAAGAAGGAGGATGAGAAGGATGACGCACAGGGCGGAAGGACGGCCTCCGCCAGTCGAAGAAGAAAAGGGCGAGGGACAAGCTGAACATATTCCCATGCGGGGTCCAACCGTCGGAGCAATATTTTGATGGCGTGTGCGTCTACCCAAAAGCATGATGACCTGGACCGTTCCGCCCCAGCACTTACAACGACGGTGGCCCCGTGCATGTCGCATCGCGGGCGCGTCGAACAGATATGGGGTCGACATCGGAAAGCCCTTATGTATCGCATGGCGTGTCTCATTTAGTTGTTTACTGATGGCTGGGCTCTTCGGCGGTTCTATCGGGCAGCGAACAAAAGCAACAACAATCGACAACACCGACAACAACACCAACAACGAACAATTACTCCCACGGTAGGACCCCACGATATTCCTCTAGGGTGCTTTGGAAATGTCTCTCATCGTCGTCCTCAGGATTGGTGAGGCGTCCTTGCTGTCTCCTTTGCATCATTCTCCTCCTCGCCCTGGCACAGGTTGTCCTTCCGCTCCCTACGCTGCCCCCTCTTCGCCCTCCCGCTTGCTTTCACCCCCGCCATTTCCTCCATTCTCTATTGCAGGAGCGCGCGTACCGATTTTCCTCGGCGCCGTCGCCGCCTCGGCCAGCACGGGCGCATTTTCGAATGGCCGCATCGCGCAGCCGTTGGGGCAATCCCGCGGGCCAGGCCGTTGGGACAACGCGCGGGTTGTTCGGGCGCGGGAGCAGGCCGTCGGGACAATCCCGCAGGCACCGAACTACTCGCAGCCGCGTTCATGGGAAAGAGACAGAGAGAGAGACAGAGAGAGAGAACTAGAGAGAGAGAGAGAGAGAGAGAGAAAGAGAGAGAGAGAGAGAGAGAGAAAACGAGAGAGAGAGAGAGAGAGAGAGTGAGACAGAGAGGGGGAGAGAAACATATACATATATGTGTATATATATAGATAGAGAGAGAGAGAGAGAGAGAGAGAGAGAGAGAGAGAGAGAGAGAGAGAGAAGAGAGAGAGAGAGAGAGAGAGAGAAGAGAGGGAGAGATAAACAGAGGGGAGAGATAACAGAACAAGAGTGATACTGAGAGAGAGAGAGAGAGAGAGAGAGAGAGAAAGAGAGAAAGACAGTGAGAGAGAGAGAGAGAGAGAGAGAGAGAGAGAAAGAGAGAAGGAGAGAGGGAGATAGAGCGAACGAGAAAACGAGAGAGAGAGAGAGAGAGAGAGAGAGAGAGAAAGGGATGATGAGAAGGATGCGGAGGGTGAGGAGGAGGAGGGGGAGGAGGAGCAGGAGGAGGAGGAGCAGGAGGAGGAGGAGGAGGAGGAGGAGGAGGACTATGATGATGAAAATGATGAATATGATGATGCTGATTATGATGATGATGATGGGGAAGAGGAGGAGGAGGCAGCGTTGGAAGATCCCCCTCGTCCGAGCTCGGATGAATCCAAGATAATGCAAGGGCTTCTTCCAGGGACCTCCAATCATCTGGGGTCTTCCCTTCCGCTTTCCCTTTCTCCCCTTCTCCCCCTTCCCCTCCCCGACCCCGTCCCCTCCGTCCCCCCAGGAAGGTCCCCCGGTCGATAAGTCCCCGACATATCATGTTTGCTTCCGTATTCATGCGGGAGGAGTCCGGTCGGATTCCAGGTTGCAGCGGGCCGTTTGAATTCCAATATGGAAATGAGGCTCCCATAAACGAGGGGTTCCCGCCTGATACTTCTTCCCAGTTCACTCACAGACGAGGCTCCCGCTTGAGTTTTCGTCCACATGCAGGCTTGAGTTGGCCAAACCTGACGACAGTTAAATGATTCCGATCACCCGTTCGGATTGCCGACGTGAAGTGCGGTACACGTAAAGAGGGGGTTCCCGCTTGAGTTTTCCTTGCACGTCGCTCACAGACAAGGCTCCCGCCTGAGACTTCCTCAGTTTTCAGGCTTGAGGAATTGAGCAGTGACGACAGTTACAGGATTCCGATGGTTCGCTCGGATTACCAACATGAAGTGCGGACCCCATTGGGAGGGGGCTCCTGCTTGAAATTTCCTCGCACATGATTCACACACGGGGCTCCCGCCTGAGACTTCCACGGTAATCAGGCCTGAAAAGCCGAAGAGTGACGTCAGAACCGATGACCCGCTCGGATTGCGAACGTGCAGTGCGGACCCCACAGGGACGGGGCTCCCGATTGAGACGTCTTCGCCATCCACTCACAGACGAGGCTCCCGCCTGAGACTTCCAGGATTCAGGCCTGCGGGGCCGAACAGTGACGATAGTTACATGATTCCGATGGTCCGCTCGGATTACCAGCATGAAGTGCGGGCCCCATAGGGACGGGGCTCCCTCTTGAACATTCCTCGCAATTCACTCACACACGAGGCTCCCGCCTGAGACTTCTCAAGATTCAGGCCTGAGGGGCCGAACAGTGACGACATTTACAGGATTCCGATGGTACGCTCTGATTACCAGCATGAAGTGCGGGCCCCATAGGGACGGGGCTCCCTCTTGAACATTCCTCGCAATTCACTCACACACGAGGCTCCCGCCTGAGACTTCTCAAGATTCAGGCTTGAGGAGCCGAAACGTGACGACAGTTACATGATTCCGATGGCCCGTTCGGATTACCAACATGAAGGGCGGACCCCGTATGGAGGGGTCTTCCGCTTGAGATTTCTTCGCCATTCACTCACACACGAGGCTCCCGCCTCAGGTTTCATCAAACTCCAGGCCTGAGGAACCCACAAGTGACGACAGTTACAATATTCCGATGACCCGCTCGGATTACCAACATGAAGTGCGGACCCTATTGGGAGGTGGTTACCGCCTGAGACTTCCTCGCAAGTCACTCACAGACGAAGCTCCCCCTTGGTCGATGATCATGATGGGCTGGTGATAGTGATGGCGATGGCGGTGTGCGCGGGTGATGATGGCGACGGTGATGTTCATGCCGAACGATCATAAACAAGGAATTATGACATGATGATGAGTGAGGTATGAGAGAACATGACTGAGTCAGAGAGTAAGTGTATTCTGATGCGTGGTGATGCTGTGAGATGACAGATCATGATGGTGATGATGCTGATGATGATGACGACTGTGATGCTTGTGATGAGGATGACGAGGATGATGACCATGATGATGATGATGATGGTGATGATGATGATGATGATGATGATGCTGATGATGATGATGATGCTGGTGATGCTGCTGATGATGATGATGATGATGATGATGATGATGATGATGACCATGCTGATGGTGTGTGAGTGTGTGAGGAGGAGATGTATGAGCGTAATTCCTGAGTGTCGGGGGCACAGCGCCGCAATTAATTGCGCGAAAGCTCGATTTCTTCATACATCATTTTGAGGATGCCCTTTGCGAGAGCGCGACGTCAAAATACATGGTGAGGAAGTATCATGCGGGAGCCGCTATTGTAAACCGGGGTCTAGGGGCCCAAGCTGAGGACCAATCATTTCTCTTGTTCAGAGCAGGGTGTGAGCCCCTGGAAGAGCATTTTAGTTGAAACACATAAGGTGCACCGAAGGGGGGGAACAACAATAACGATTCTTTCGAAATGAGAGTTCAACAGCAATAACAACAACCAATGACGACGACGTCGACGACACAAACAACAACAAACACACCAGACACCGAATTTTCCGGTTGTTCGGTCGGCCTTCGTCAATGAATCCAGGCGGGACAAGCACATTCGGCAAAGACACCGAGTGAACAAAACAGTAACACTGCAACAGGAACAGCATACAGGAAAATTGCAGCAATACCAACAGCACAGCTGGCATCACGAATCACGACAACAACGACATCAACAGCAACAACAATCATAGTAACATGTTTTCATATAAGAGCACTCCTCGCGGCCGTGCTTGGTTAATGCATCATTTCGCGTGCTGCGGTCTGACCACAACGAAAGCCACCACTAACAATGCTAACAACATGAGCAGCAGCAACAATAACACCACGAACAGAAAACACCAACAACAACAAAACTACAAGCAACAGACAACGACACCACCAACAACACCGTCATAACATGGTGCCGCCTCCAAGGAGTATTCCGTGACATACGAACGCCGCCCCAGAGACGACCTCGAGATTGCTTCGAGATTGCGCCAAGATATCCCTGTGAACCCTATTTGGTTCACGGGTGGACAGAACCTCCACACTGACACGTCGATTCGTGAATTGTCCGTTTTCGGTTCTCGAGAGGGCGCCGCGGCCGTCATTTTCCAGGCTTGCGCCCGCCAGGTCTGGGCCCGAGGTCGTTTTCACTAAACCACGTTTTACCAAAGGGGGTTCTGTCCAACCCCGATTGGCGACAAGACTGCCCCAGTATGGCTCCAATGTGACTCCGATGCGTTTCTCGCTCTTGGCTTGGCCCGATAGGACAGCTGGGGGTGCCGGCCCTCCGCTCCCTCGTCGTCATCCTGTCCCTCCCCCTCGTCCTCGTCGCCTTCGCCGCCGTCGTCGTCGCTGTCCGCCTGGCCCTCCTGGCACCACACACACACCGGAGAAAGCCGGAGCCCCGACACAAGCCGAGCCCATATAGTTTCTCTGGCAGGGCCAGTTCTTCATCCTCCGCAGTTGTTGGCGGCCCTCGGGCCCGGCCGGGGCCCCCGGAGGCCGAGCATGGCGCCAGAGGCCTCCCGTCGTGCTGCCTCCCACGACGCCAGCACGTCAAAGGGGTGGCTGCTCGGCTCAGGAGCTGCTCTCGGACGAGAGCCTGGCGGTGGACTCCCGGCTCCGGGCCAAGGTCGCGGAGTCCCCCACCGGCGAGGCGCCCGGGGGAGCGTCGAGCGCCCTGCGGGCCAGGGGGATGGTGCGAGCCTCGTCTGCTGCCCCCTCGCACCTCCCAGTCCGAGGAGTGCAGAACGCTCCACGGCGGGGAGGAGGGGAGGAGGAGGAGGAGGAGGAGGAGGAGGAGGAGGAGGAGGAGGAGGAGGAAGAGGAGGAGGAGGAGGAGGAGGGAGGAGGAAGAGGAGGTGGAGGAGGAGATGGAGGATTCAGCGATGCAGCGTTGACTGCACAGCTTGGGTGTAACAAGACAAGGACAGCCGAGGACGACGTCGTCGAGCTCACCGCCCCGTGCCGTCGCTGTGGTAGCTGGATTCCGCTGGACAGCTCCCGGGGACTGCACTATATGCCCATTTCGCGGATGGAAGGAGGAGGAGGAGGAGAAGGAGTAGGAGGAGGAGGAGTAGGAGGAGGAGGAGGAGGAGGACCAGTGTAATCCCAAGAGTCATCAACGATGTTAGAATAAACCCTCCGTCCAAGCTCTCTCTTCACTGGTCCCTACAACGGTTCATTTCCATTGAAGGAGCTGCCTCTTTGGAAGACAACCGTTTGAAGACCCTGAAGCATGCCAAAACAAGGTTCTCGGGATTCCAACGCTACGGATCAACCTGACTGTTGCGTCTTGGCAATTCTGAGTCGTGCCAGGACGCCATTCCTAGGACTTTAGAACCAGCAGAACTGTTGCACCCGCATAATCCTGCATCCTTTCAAAACACCAGGCCTGGCACGTTGATGATGGGAATCCGTGATACTCTTGCAACTTTTTAAGAAGAGTGTGCACCGCGCTAAGGCGAGAGCCACATGTTGAAAAGGAACCGCCCTCAATCCGTGAAACTCTTGCAATTTTGTACAACGAATGTGCGCCGCGCTGAGGCGCGAGCCACATTTTGAAAACGACCCGCCCTCAATCCGTGAGAGTGTTGCAAATGTCTAAAACGAACGTGCGCCGCGCCAAGTCGAGAGCCACATTTTGAAAAGGACCCGCCCTCAATCCGTGAAAGCGTTGCACAACGAGTGTGCGCGGCGTTAAGGCGAGAGCCACATTTTGAAAACGACCCGCTCTCAATCCGTGAAGCGATTGCATATTTTCCAAACGAATGTGCGCGGCGCTAAGGCGAGAGCCACATTTTGAAAACCACCCGCCCTCCATCTGTGAAGCTGTTGTCATTTTTTAAGGTTCCGAGTCATAAGCGGTGAGGAAGTCTCAGGCGAAACGCCCGGCCGCCCTCAAAACTGGCCTCGGGGTGCGACAGGGAGAAGTTACTTATGAGGAAAAGGAATGGAGGAGAGGAGCAGGAGGAGGAGGAGGAGGAGGAGGAGGAGGAGGAGGAGGAGGAGGAGGAGGAGGAGGAAGAGGAGGAGGCGGAGGCGGAGGCGGAGGCGGTGGAGGAGGAGGCGGTGGAGGAGGAGGAGGCGGTGGAGGAGGAGGAGGACGAGGAGGGGGAGGAACAGGCGAGTACGCCGAAGCCACCGTGCAAACAAACGACGCATGCCGCGCGGGCGCCGGCCTCTCGGGGGCATCCCCTGGGGCGGCCCTCGGGGGCCACCCCGCGGCCGCCGCGGGGCCGGCCTCCCGGGGGCGTCTCCGCGCCGTGTCGGCGGCCGTCTCGGCAAGCTTGAGAGCCGCCTTGCGCCGCAGCAGGCGCAGGGGACGAGAGAGGAGTCGGCCTGCCCGCGGGTGCCCCACGAGGGCTTCTGGGCCCGCAGAGCCCCTGGGGCACTTCGCGGAGCTCAGCGTCGCCGGGGGATGAGCCCCCAGCTGGCCACGCGCCAAGGGGGGTATGGGGAGGGGGGAGGCTTCGCATAAGCACCCCCGCTTCTCAGAAGGCGCGGGATGAGGCCGGCGTCCCGTAAGGTCTAAGGAGCAGGCTCCGTCTAAGCAGCCTTCCCCCCTCCCCCTGCCCCCCCCTGTGCGCGTGGCCAGCTCATGGAGCTCAGGGTCGCCGAAGGATGCGCCCCCAGGTTTCTCGTAGCAGGGTTCTGGTCGTATGTGCCTACTTCCCCTTGGGAGGCCATCTTGGGTTGTCTGGTGCTCTCTTGGCGCCTCCTGGGGCCATCTTGGCCGCTCTACTCGCGGGGGGGCGCGTTCAGACCCTGGGAGGGGATGCGCGTAGGCGGACGGGCTGCTCGAATGGGACGAGGTGGCTCTTCCGAAACAGCCGATCCGAGAAGCCGCCTCCGACCTCTACGCCCAGAGGGCTGGTGGCACTCCTCGCGCTTCTCCCGTGCCGGGCCAGGCGCTGTTCACAACCTGCCGATCCTGCTGCCTGTCGGCACGATCGAAATGGCTACGGAAAGAATGGCTACGCAGACCAACAGCATGTCTGGTATTTTTTGAAGAGGACTCGCTGTCGGTGTCGCCACAGGCGTCGTTCATTTGAGACAGCCGGCCTCCTGCCCAACACAGGCCGCAGACAGAGTTGGACAACATTTGTTTTTGGGACATCGTACTTTCCGTGCCCATTACGGGCGTCCAAAGACCCCCAACGCCCCCCATGTTGTTTCCCTCCTCCTCCTCCTCCTCCTCCTCCTCCTCCTCCTCCTCCTCCTCCCCCGCTCCTGCCCCTCTCCTGCCCCTCTCCTCCTCCTCCTTCCTCCCTTCTCCTTCCTACCTCCTCCTCCTCCTTCCTCCTCCTCCTCCTTCTCCAGTTCCTCCTCCCCCTCCTCCTCCTCCTCCTCCTCCTCCTCCTCCTCCTCCTCCAGTTCCTCCTCCCCCTCCTCCTCCTCCTCCTCCTCCTCCTCCTCCTCTTCCTCCTCCTCCTCCCCTTCCTCCCCCGAGGTGCCCCTCATGTGGATCTGCTCGCGGTACGCCTCGCGCCTCGAGCGCGGAGCCGATACGAGCGCAGCTGGTCTGGAGGTCTGGCCGACGGGCCGAAAGCCCATGGATGGGCAGGCAGGAGGGGAGGGGATAGAGGAAGAGGAGGAGAGAAAAGGAGGAGGAGGAGGAGAAACATGAAGAGGATTATGATGATGATGATGATGATGATGATGATGATGATGATGATGATGATGATGATGATGATGATGATGATGATGATGATGATGATATTGATGATGCTGATGATGATGACGACGATGATGATGCTGATGATGCTGATGCTGCTGATGATTATGATGATGATGATCATGACGACGATGCTGATGATGATGATGATGATGATGCTGATGATGATGATGATGCTGCTGCTGATGATGATGCTGTTGATGATGATGAGGATGCTGCTGCTGACGATGATGCTGATGATGATGATGCTGATGATGATGATGATGATGATGGTGATGATGATGCTGATGCTGATGCTAATGCTGATGCTGCTGCTGCTGCTGCTGCTGATGATGATGATGATGATGATGATGATGATGCTGATGATCACGATCATGCTGCTGCTGCTGATGATGATGATGCTGATGATGATGATGATGATGATGATGATGATGATGATGAGGATGAGGATGAGGATGATGATGATTATGATGATGATGTGATTCTGATGATGCTGATGATGTGATATTATGATGATGATGATCGATGATGATGATGATGATGATGATGATGATGATGCGATGATGTTATGAGGATGATGCTGATGATGATGATGATGATGAGAGAGGCGGGGATGAGGAGGAGGAGGAGGAGGAGGAGGAGGAAGGAGGAGAGGGAGGGAGGAGGGAGAGGAGGGAGGAGGAGGAAGAGGAGGAGGAGGAAGGAGGAGCGAGAGGAGGAGGAGTGAGGAGGGAGGAGGAGGAGGAGGAGGGGGGAGGAGGAGAGGAGGAGGAGGAGGAGGAGGAGGAGGAGGGGGAGGAGGAGGAGGGAGGAGGAGGAGGAGAGAGGCGGATAGGAGGAGGAGGAGGAGGAGGAGGAGGAGGAGGAGGAGGAAGAGGAGGAAGGGCAGGGAGAGGCAGGATTGAGGAAGCGCAGACACGGACTTGGGCGCGCGGACTCGCGCGGCGGGTCCCGTTTCTGTGCGCAATCAGCGCGCTCCGTCGACAGATCGGGCGGCATCGACGCTATGTCTCGGGGGGTATTTGCTATCTTCCCCGATCCGTGGATCTGGCCCCCACGCGCCAGATCCATGCATCCCCAAACCTGGAGGAAAGGAGAGCGATCTACCACCACCACCACCGCCACCACCGCCACCGCCGCCACCGCCACTACCACCACCACCACCACCACCACCACCACCACCACCACCACCACCACCAGCAGGGGTGTCGCCTCCCCAGCTGGGAGGTCTGCGGTGCATCTCCGAGCTGGGCGTGAGGGATGTCCCGAGCTGGGGGTAGGGAATGTCTCGAGCGGGGGGGGGGTACCACACCACTGGGAGGACCCCGCCTGGCTCCTCGCGCTGGTAGTGGTGGCGTCGCTGTTCTTCAGGAGAGACAGCAGACACAGTTCACAGAAAAGTTGATTTCCAGGACATGAAACAAAACAAATGGATGGAGGGGACGGCGTGAACCCAGAAAAGCAGGACAAAGCATACCATCTTTGTTTGAAGTGCGGAGGAGCCGTCCTCTGCGCCGCTCTGCGCCTGCTCTGGCCTCCGCCTTCCCGCCCTCCCCCGCGAGGGAGGGAGGGATCCGCGCAGGGGCCCGCCAAAGAAGAGGAGGGAGGGAGAGAGGCCAGAGATCCGACGCTCCGACACACATTGGAGCGGCGGGTTTTTAGCCGTTCTCGGCCTCTTTTGGGCCCTCGCCGGGCCTCGGGATCGGCAGGAAACGACTCAGGGCGAAAAGTCGGCCCTCGGGAAGTGGCCCAGACCTCCAGGGCCCACGCAACAAAAAAATTAGGCAGCTGGATGTCCTGGGGAGAGGAATTCTTCACGCTTCGCGTATCCCCACCAGCCCATCTCAAAACAGCAACTCTTGCGAAGCATGCCGACGGTCGTGTTTTTCAGGCGTGTTTCCGCCTGCCCCCGCACATCTCCGGGCCTCTCGTCCTGGTGTGAGTCGTTCGGGCCCTTCTTCCTGGTGTGAGTCGTTCGGGCTCTTCGTCGTGGTTTGAGTCGTTCGGGGCCCGCGTCGTGGTGTGAGTCGTTCGGGCTCCTCGTGGTGTGAGTCGTTCGGGCGCCTCGTCCTGGTGTGAGTCGTTCGGGCCCTTCCTTGTGGTGTGAGTCGTTCGGGCTCCTCGTGGTGTGAGTCGTTGGGGTCTCTCGTCCTGGTGTGAGTCGTTCGAGCTCCTCGTGGGGCCTGTTGGGGGCCTCTTGGAGCCTCTTGGGGCGTCTTGGGGGCCTCTTGGGGGCCTCTTGGGGGCGTCTTGGGGGCCTCTTGGAGCCTCTTGGGGCCTCTGGGGGGCCTCTTGGGAGCCTCTTGGGGACCTCTTGGGGCCTCTTGGGGGCCTCTTGGGGGCCTCCTGGAGGCCTCTTGGGAGCCTCCTGGGGGCCTCTTGGGTCCATCTTGGAGCCTCTTGCGACCTCCTCAGAAGCGCAAATGAGCGCTTCCCCCTGATTTGACCAAAATGAGCCCAAAACCTTCGTAAAATCAATGATTTTGCTATGAAGGAAGGGGAACGCGGCCCCCTTCAGAAGGCCAAAATGGGGCCAAAACCGTAGTAAAATCAATGATTTTTGCTTCAAAGACGAGCTGAGGCACCAAACTCCCCCCCCCCCCCCTCGGGGCCAGAATCCTCGTGAGGGTAGTCGTTTTTTGGCCCTCCCAGACGTCGAAAAGGACCCCCCTGACGACCCGCGGAACTCCTTCTCCAGGTCCAGGGGGAGGGGGTAGGGGGAGGGGTAAACCCCTCCCCGAAGGGGAAGAAGGGGGGTTGAGGACAGAGCGGGCTCTCTAAACCACTCACGCCCAAAGGGCTGGTGGGATTACACTTCACTCCTCCCACTCTTGAGAAGGGAAGAGAGGGGGAGAGGTAACAGGAGAGGGTAGAGGGGAATGGGGGCCAAAGGTGGCGGAAGATGGGGAGACGGAATTGTGCCGATACCGCTCCTCCCTGGACCTCTCCCGGGGTGCGTTCTGATCAGGATTTCGAGGCGCATCCAGGCATGGCGACGAAGGCCTCCTGGGAGGCCCAAGAAGGTGAGAATGAGGGCAGAGGTAGGGGTCCCTCTTCCTCCGCCGATGGTTTGCGTCCGCGTGCCCCCCCTCGAAGGTTCAGTATCGCTTAATCTACACCTCAGGCGATGCGTAAGAAAACTTAAATTTTCGGCCAGAGTCTCGATTATTCTTCATGTTTCGATGTAAATCCTAAGATTTGAATCGAAATTTTGGGTTTTTATTCAAGTTCTGAGACTGTGAATTTCTTAACCCATGATTTCTTAAGCATTTCGCAGGGTGTATGCCCATGCCCACTAGGGCATGGCATCTCAGCCCCACCATCCCACCGCCCCAGTTGGGGAGCGGCCCCTCGAAACCCGAGCGGACGGCCAGAGGGTGCCCCCCCGCCTGGGGGGTCAGCGGGGCGCGGGCCTAGTTTTCGGGCCATACTCAACTCGGGTCTCCAGCGGCCGTCAGGGACGGTCCCGGCACCCCTGGAACGCTCTCGACGAGACGCAGCTGATGGAAGCCACCCCGTGTCTCGAGACCTACGGAACAGCTGCCGAAAGCTCTCGCAGACTCCCCCCCTGAGGGGCAGGGATCGGTGAAGCGGCGCTCAGAGGTGTCCGGGGCCGAGCTCTACGAGGCGCTGAAGCACTCTGCGCAGCTGTACGTCGACGGCAAGCGGCTCACGGTGTCCCGCAAGCGGCGCCTGCCGCCGCACCTCGCCGCCGCGGGCTCGGGGCCTTCCCCGAGGGCCGCGGCCTCCAGCGCCGCGGAGAAAGGCGGCGGCGCGTCCGAAACCTCCGCTGTGTTTTTTTTTGTGGGGGGGGGGCAGGGGTAGGGAGCGAGACATTGAGACCCCGTAGAGTCGCGTGCAGCAGGCTGCAATCCGTTTTCTCATGCTCCGACTCGACTCTGTCCAAGTGCAGGATTTTGACGCTCGTCGTGCGACCCGACTCAGAACTTTGTGACGAGTGTTTCTCGGGGGCGAGATCCGAAGCTTACCCTCGCTGGTTAATGATTCAGGCAGCTCGATGGGTGGCGGGGGTAGGGTTCGGAGCTCGTGGAGCACGCGGCGAAGTCCGAACCCTGCCCCCGCCTCCCA